GAGTCTTCCTGGTCACTCATACAACATGATTCTTCCCTGCAGAGTACAATACACAAAGTGGTTGAATTAGCACAATTTAGTGAGATTCTTTTCAGTGTACTTTTAATTACAAGGAATTGTCTGAGATGCTTTAGGATTGAAAGCTATTAAAAGACATGTTCTCTGGCCTCAGACAAGTGAAATCATAAGAAAGGAAGTGAAGATGTACAGAACAAGTAACTAATATGCACTGTCAAGTAAAAATAGGTCCACAGACAATGCTTTGGGAGAATAATAAAGGGGGTAGTATTTATGTAATTTGGGAAGATGAGTCTGTATCCGTAAGATTTACCTAAGTGAGGAAAAATAGGACAGCATACTGGTTATTTGAACTGGTTATTTGAAAGCAAATCTGGAGCATGATTTTGATATGAAGCCTCAATATGTACCAGCTCTTCAAGCCTGTCAAATTTTCCCATGCTACATTGTAAGCATTATAAGGTTAAAGCATTCATTTCTGGGTGTAGAGGTGGGTAATATAACAAAGGCTTTCTTTCTTTCTTTCTTTTTCTTTCTTTCTTTCTTTTTTCTTGACCTTGGCCTGGGCACTGTCCTTGAGCCTCTCTGTGCTCAAGGCAAGCATTCCACCACTTAAGCCACAGAGCCACTTTTTTCCTGTTTATGTGGTACTGAGGAATTGAACCCAAGGCTTCATGCATGCTAGGCAAGCACTCTATCACTAAGTCACATTCCCAGCCTTAGAATTTACTTCTAGGTGTCATACTGATTAGTCTTTGCTTGTCTTATCCTATTTTTGTTGTTGTTGTTGTTGGTTGTCGGGCTTGAACTCTGGGCCTGGGAGCTGTCCCTCAGCTCTTCAGCTCAAGGCGAGTTTTCTACCACTTGAGCCACAGAGCCACTTCCGGTTTTCTGGTGGTTTATTGGAGATAAGAGTTTCACAGACTTTCCTATCTGGCTGGCTTTGAACCACAATCCTCAGATCTCAGCCTCCTGAGTAGCTATAATTACAGGTGTGAGCCACTAGTGCCCGGCTATTTTTTTTAAAAGTAGGTAAAAGTTCACTTACCCACCCCCTCCGAATGAAAAAGTCATACTTATGAACAATACTAGATAAAGGGTTTTTTTGTTTGTTTGTTTTACAAAAATGTGGCTCATTTTATTTTTATAGAAACTAAAACATGAGAGTTCATTAGTCCTATATTCAATACATAAATTATAAAGTAACCATTCATAAAACTTTGCATACAATAAATTGATCCCCATGTCTATAGTACTATGCACAGTTTGTGTAAATGTCCCGTGAACTTCAGAGCATCAATATAGTGAAACTCAGTTGATTTCTGTCTTTCATTAATAAACGCTAAAGGAGGAGGTGGAATCATGCAAAGGAGAATGCAAGTGATGCTGTTTGAGGAAAGCTTTGAGCAATTCATCCTCTGGGCTAAGTTAATACAGTAGATATGTGAGGATTATGTATTCAATCACATTACCTCTCTGCTCGAGTCTCCACAGAACTGGCTACTGAATCATGCACAAACCCTTTTTGGAAGAAGATATTTAGTTGATGATACATTGACCTTTGGCTGACATAAATACTGTAGATTTTGCTGGATTTTCTTCTTCCAGACAAATTGCTTAGTTATAGGCTTATATAATTGAAATTTAGTGTCGAGCCTCTACCACCATCAACAATAAGAAATAGAAGAAATGAACTAGAGGTGGGGGAGGGGCAGGAGCAGAGAGAAGAGAAAGGCAAGGAGAGATGAGTTTCCCAGGAACATCAGAGAAAAAAATTAAAAGCCTTCCATAAGTCCTCCATACTGGGACAGAAATGCACACATAAGTGCATAAGAGGTTTCGGTCATGAGGCTTGAACTCTGGGTATGGGTGCTGTCCCTGAACTCTTCAGCTCAAGGCTAGTGCTCTACCACCTTGAGCCACAGCACCACTTCCGGTTTTCTGGTGGTTAACTGGATATAAGAGTCTCATGGACTTCCTGCCTGGGCTGGCTTTGAACAGCAATCCTCAGATCTCAGTCTCCTGAGTTGCTAGGATTATAGGCGTGAGCCACCGGTGCCCAGCCATAATGTAATCTCTAAGCAACATAGCCAATTCTTATTCCATCATGTGTGTTTGTGTGTCCGGGTGCATGCATGCAGCTATGTATATACTCTGGACAATCTTTGGACATCAAAAGACTATAAGGAAATGTTTTCAAAATACAGGATCGCTGTAGCCCATCCTTTTTTGATATATGTAACCCAAATGGCCCACTTATTTAAACAGTAACACTCAGCCAATAAATACTCTGTGGTGTGAACAAAAACCCAGTTCTAAACTTAGGACTCATTTTAATGAGTCCTATAAATGAGCTTATAAATGATATCAAAGTTGTATCAAAGTAACACAGTGGGTTTACAGTTGAAGTTGATACTAAATCACCAGAGACTTATTGAAAACAAAATAAGCAAATAGCTTGAAATAAAACGTTATAGCAAGAATTTTTTGGCAAACTTTATTTCTTCTGTTACAAGTAGAAAACCCTTCCTATTCCAGTCACAATACATGCATCTGCATCATGTATTCTTTGTAAGAACCATACTAGCTGCACGAGCATTTTTTGTGGTTTTAAAGAAGAAGGAAAGGAAAATGTATTCTTTATTGCTGACAATAATTTATATGACAAAAGTTAGAAAAAGAATTTGAATTTCCAGCATATTCTGCCATCTCCTACAATTCAATTTCAGTTTGATTTTAAAAAGACAAGTTAGTGTCTTTAAAAAAATCAGATTATTAATGGCAATGCAGTGAAATATGGCTGCCAAGAAGACTCTGTTTATTCCTTCTGATGAAAAATTTCCTGTGCTGAATAACTGTGCTCATGGGGAGATTCATTTATCTCAAATTATTTTAGATACTCAATTATATTATTTTCCAAGGGATGCTATACTAAGATAAATTGAACACTGAATTGTCTGACTTCAACATTTGACCCATGGTCAAATGTGTCAGCCATATAATCATGCCCAAATTAAAGTCCAAATTAAGTTGGAATTCTGTTTTTTCTAAGGAAATGGAATGGCTCCATGATAAACCTATCAGTAGTGAAAAGGTCTTTTTGCTATTGTAAGGAAAGCAGAAATAAAAAATTCTAATATATAGGACATTAATTGACCCTCTTCCATATTTTCTGACTGGGGTTTGCTAGGATTGGGTAACAGAATTTGTGGAAGCATAGAAGTACCCTGTTTCACATTTCCTGCATAATGAACTTGCGGTTCATATTATTCAGTGGGATAGTTCTGTCTTTTTGTGTTTCCACCAAGAGGGCATCTCCAAAATGTCCTATCTCTAAAATGAACGAGATCATCTGGCTCATGACATGATAATATCCGCTCTGTACAAGCCTTTGTTTCATGGTTGCTTTCTTGTGATGAAAGTAGAGTTTTGGCTAGTGGTATGAAGGCGGAACAGGAGAGGGAGGAGATGCTTACCCTTTAAGTGAAACATTCTTCTGTCCAGTTGCATGAGATAATGTAATTGTTATACATTACTAGACATCCTGGTTTTGGATCTCTCCATCTTTATTGCTAATACTACCCTAAGCAGCTTGATGGGAAAACCTCAGTGCTTCAATGCCAAATGGAAGCAACATCTTATTACACAGGGGGATCTTTTTCTGCACAACAAAGGAAAGTCAGATAATACAGCGGTTACAATAATTACAAAGCACTTTGTGCTACTTTCAGCACCTCTTGTTCTGAGATTGCAATAAAACTTTATGAAAAAAGCATATAACCCCATTTTGCAGATGAGGAAATTGAGGCACAGAGAGGTTAAGTGACTGGGCCAAAGATACTTGGGTCACTATTCAATACAAAGACAAAAAGTGAGACTCCAGAATGCTAGTTTTTTGTTTTGTTTTGTTTTTGTAGATTCTTCAGTTTTTATTCTGGCTTTGAAAATGCCAGTGTTGAAATGGAAAGATGCTAGTGAACTCACAGATTGAAAGATTCATGTAGCATTCCACAGAAAGACATTTTGGTTCCGAACACACATTTCTCTATTGCATGGAAATTGTAGCCCCATAAATCAAATCTTGGAAAAAAATTGAGGTTGTCTTGTTATCTACAGTAAATGAAGTGTAAAATTAGCTTTTTAAGACCATATATTTGCTCTCAGAGCTGAATCTAGGACTCAGTAATACATAACTTAGGAAAAGTACCATTTTTTCTAGTTGTCTCTGGTAGAAAATTTACCTTATCAGCAATATAATGTTACCTCTCTATTTAATTTTTTAATTTTTTTCTTTACAAAAAGTACAGCTATCTTGTTGCTGTCAGCTGTCTTCTCACTCTAAATGACAAGAGGTAAGATTGCCCCAAGTATATCCATTTTCTTTTCATGTTCACATTTCTGTAGCAAACCCAATGTTGGTAGGAGTTTACTTATCACTTGTATGATGTTAGCCCAAATCATACAATAGGTTCATTTGCAGACGATTTTAAATGAAAAACCAGTATTAAAGAAATTGAAGAATTCAGAGGTGCTTTCTGGCCCGTGTTCCCTATCCATGTTGGCATTATCAACAGAACTAAGGGATCTTGTGATTTAGGATATCATCTTCTTAAGTTTCATTGTGAGTGAGATCAATCCATTGCTAGTGGAGGAATGCAGATGTAAGAGAAGCACAAAGAAACATCAAATCTGCATTTATATCTCATGTCACATTCACCCGACTCCTTTGACTTGGTGGCCAGTGAAGTGAGGGTCACTGGGATCCACTTCTCTGTGGAAAGCGTTTGGCCAACTCCACCTTCGCAGTGGGGAAAAAAATGGAGAGTAGTTCCTTCCATTCACGTTGCAGATGCCTCTGTTCCTGAGTTTAAAACAAGCAGAAAGACAGAAAAGCAAAATTCCTGTAGTAAGAAACCAGACTTTTCAAATGAAACATTTTATTGTAAATAGCTCCTCATAGGTATTCCTCGTGCTTCATTCCCCACCCACCCTTTTTGTTGTTGTTTGCTTTGATTTTTTTTTAAAATGGTGTTTATTTTCAGGAATAGTGTTTCCATGGGGGTGTGGTGTTACATTAAAATGATCCCCCTGCACAGCAGGAGTTGAATGTTTCATTGTAACTTTGGTTCCATGTCCCAAGACACATCTTTGCTTGATCGGCTGAATCTGTTCCGTTGCTGAATTTTTTTTCTTTACACATTATATTTGCTTATAGTTCTTTCCTTCTGGTTTGACATACACACATTTCAGTAAATGCAGCATATAGTGTAGATTTTCAATGGGGTCCTGTAGGAACTGTCAAGTAAGAAACCTTGAATAATGGCTTTAAAGTACACAATTGCAGTCTTGACTACAGGGAGGTTCTCAGCTTTTGATCTCCTTTGCACTGGTGTAAACAATTTTGCCATCTTCAAAGGTTTAGAAGCATTTGCCTTTCTGGGGTATGATCCATATTTTTGAATTTTCTGTAAAACAGAGGAAAACGTTCCTGACTATCACTTTTTAAAAATAGCTGGACCAGCATAAAGCAATGTCATGTACAAGGAAAATTCAGTTCAATCCCCAGCGCCAAAGCAAAGCAAACCCAAACCAAAGCAAGCTTATAAAAAATAAAAATATTTTTATTCTTTAATATTTCTAAGGGCTGAGTGCAATAGGCACGTTGAATATCATCTTTACGCTTAACTGACAAAATGCAAGTTTGATATTTACTGCACAGTTTATTGTCATATGATGTATATAAAGCAGTGAACAATGAAATAGTAATTATTATTATTATTATGTCCTTAAAGCTTCCAAGGTAATACCTTAAAGTGCAGTGATATTATTATGCTCCCAAACTACAAAGTCAGGTATTTTTAAAGCAAGTCTTCTTTTGTGACTTACCTTTTGCAACCTTTTTTATTTCGCTCCTTAACATTTCTCAACATTCTCTCCTCAGCCATTGGCATATTGTCTCCACCCCAATGGCTGACTGGAGGACTCCCTTGAAACTCCATATTAGGTTTCTGTTTGAACCTGAGCGTGTCCCTCTGAAAAGGTGATCTCCCAGAACTCAGTCTGTCAGGACTCTGAGAACTGTTCCTCCCTGAATCCACATATCTGGGAAGAAGTCTGGGCCATAAGCCTTTCTTTTTCCAATAAAAGCTGAAGACAGCACTGAGGTTGTGCTTCACACACTACCTGAGGACCTATCCTTCTAGGTCTGATTCCCAGGAATAGAGAAAATGGGATTTCTGTTTTCTCACTCACTGGATGTTCAAAGACACGTTCTTAAATATGACCAAGCTTCAATTTCTTTACCTCTAAGAGAGGCTACTAATTTTTTGGAGAACCTCATTATTGTCCCTAAAAGGTTGACCAAGATGCAAAGTGGAAGAAGGGTTATGTAGGCTAGCATCTGAAGGACACTTAATGCCCACCATTTAAAGACAAATTGAAAATATTCAAATAAATTTCTGCCATGAGGGCAAATCACAACTATTTGGAATGTCTATTTCTAGAGCCATTTTGCTCCTGACACCAGGTAAGATTGGAATGAAAGACTTGAGGAAGTCCCAGAGAAGGATCTATCAAGATCACACTGAGCAAGAAGGAAATATGCCAAAAGGTGGCCAAGAAACTGGCATTGGGCACATAAGAAGAGACTTGTGTTTGGTTGCTGAAAACCAGACTTGCTTGTCTTTCCTTGCCTTTCTGAGAATTGGAGAGGACTGATCGTATAAAGATGAGAAGTCCACTTCTATTTTTGTCAGCAAGGAGCTATGACGTATACCACCAAAAATGGGAGGGGCCCAATTGGCAAAAAAAAAAAAAAAAAAAAAAGGATATCCATTAGTATACTGAGCATGCGCAGTATAGCTTACTGAAAAACCTGCACATGACTCCTAGGATGGGCAAATCATTGGTCACTTCTCAAAGAATAAACATCAAGGCCAAGTCGGTCATGACTAGTAAAGCATCCATATCACTGTTAATGAGCAGAAGAGTCCTTTTTCCTCTCTTCCTTCTCAAGAAAGGCTGAGCCTTGAAGGTTGACAGAAGGACAGAGGATCTCCAGAGACCACAAATCTCCTACAGGTGCACCTGAATTGTGACTAAGGTATGATAAAGAAGGAAATGGGATTAAACAAAATCTACAGTTAAGTTCTCCAGTTGGAAAGATTTTCAAGAATTGAAGTGACTGAAAAGTTGGGGTGCCAATTTAAGATTTAATAAAAAGATGAGAAACAAAAATAAGACATGACCAGAGACGCTATTTGCACCCACTGCCATGAAACCTTCAATTAATTACAAAGATATTATTCTTTTATTCCTGGCCAAAGGAAAGAAGCAATGCAAATAAATATGAAAGACTGTTCAAGAAATATTCATTGGTGTATTTGTATACATAAAATGATTTAGCACAAAAACTCTGATTTCTATACTTTCAATACATATTTTATCAGAGATTATGTCTTAAATTCTGTGACAGAGAAGATATGTATACTTTCTACTTTTGGATATGGTTTGCCCATGAAGCCCAGACTGGCTTTGAACTGTGATCTTCCTGGCTACACAATCGAATGCTGGGATTACAGGTGTATGCCACCATGCTAGACTATTGTTTTTGCCTATCAGTAAATCAGTAAATAAATCAAACCTCACAGGAGCAAACACGTTTTAATTTTAAAACCGAAGAGCTTATAAACAGTTTCTAGAATGTTTCATTTTTATACATTATAAGATTGAAAATTCTATAAGTTAAGGGGTTATATGTTTTTACACTTTTGGAAAGTAAGGGGTTTCTGTAAACTATTGTTTCCACGGTAAATTTATTCAATTGCCTTTTTGAATATCTGCAATTGTCCAAAATCACACTACAGTTCTCAGAATCTTTCTCTCTTTGACTCTCTGTCTCTGTCTCTATCTCTCCCTTCCTTTCTTCCTTCCCTTCCTCCTTTCTTCCTCCTTTCCCTTCCCTTCCTTTCTTTTCTTTTCCTTTCTTTCTTCTTTTTCCCGAGTGAGGGCACTGCAGCTTGAACTCAGGGCCAGGGCACTGTCCCTGAATTTTTATTTTCCCTCAAGGCTAATGCTTTACCATTTGAGCCACAGCTCCACTTCCAGCTTTTTGATGATTAATTGGAGATATGTGTCTTGTGGACTTTCCTGCCTGGGCAGGCTTTGAACTGTGGTCCTCAGAGCTCAGCCTCCTGAGAAGCTAGACTGTCCTAACAAGTGTGAGCCACTGGTTCCAGGCTTCAGGGACTCTTTTTAAACAGCTTGCTTAACAGTGCTGAGTTTGCCTCTTGTGTTAAAAAGCTATTACAGCTAGCAGATTCTGAGTCAATGAATTGATATCACTTTTTACACTGGATGGGCTTCCCCCATCCCACCAGATACACATCTAGAAACCTAAAGGTGGTCTCTCACACCTTTCACTGCTTTACCCTCTTCTCTGATTTGTCATGTGGTAAGTGGACCCAATAAATAGTAGCTGCTTCTGTTGACTCTATTTTACAAATGAGGAAGCTGACAATGTGCATTGTTAAGTATTTGGTCTATGGTCCTCTTTGTGGAGAGCTATATGATCACATTGAACAGAACTGAATGGAAGCCAGAGATGTTTAAGGCTTCCCTAATTTCCTGCTGCAGATAGAAGGACAGAAGAACAGTTGTGCAGAATGTGATCTGTGTGGATAGAAGCATGTCTTGAGTGCTTGCTATATCCTAGGAACTTAGCTTTGTTTTTGTGTGTAGTGGTACTGGGACTTGAACTAACAGCTTTGCACACTGCTTACCCACAGTGTCTTGCCATTTGACCCGCATCCACACCCATGCAGCATTTTCTGGTTAGGTGGAGATGGAGTCTTTTGGATTATTTTTCTGAATGGGCTAGCTTCAAACCATCATTTTCCAGGTCTCAGCCTCCTGAATATCCAAGATTACATGTGAGCTACCAGTGCCTAGCTAGGAATGTGGCTTTTAATGAGCCTGTTTCTAAGACTAGTTTTTCTTGCCTGTGTAATATAGGCATATGATGTAATATAATATAGGAAAATAATGTAGTCTCACCTCACATTTGTTTTTCTGGTTCTCTGGATTGAACCAGTAGCCTTACAGGTGCTAAGCACATATATTGCTATTAACTTACACTCCCAGAGTCCTTAATTTTTTTCTTATATTAGGAAACTAGTGTTTAGAGAGTGCTTTTGAATGTCTATAGATGATAATGCCTTCATGGTTGCAATTAATGCCTTCTACAGGAGCTAGAGAGTAAAAAACTATTCTTTTGCTCTTCTATTCTTTCTACCATGCAAGAACACACTGACTCTTTCAGAGAAATAGCAAGGCCTCATCTTGGAAATGTAGTTGGAACCTCACCAGACATAGGATCTGCCAGTAGGTTCATGTTGGACTTCTCAAGCTCCCATTTTTTTAAACGTTATTATTTATAAATGACATAGCTTCAGCTATGGTTGGCACAAACAGAGTGAGATTAATTTTTTCAGGGTTGTTATCAGTATTAAAATAAAATAATGGATTTGAAATGCATTTTCAATCCCAGCTGTGCTGGGGATTCACCCTAGAATTGTACGCATGCTAGCAGAATTTTCTTTGTAACTGTTAAAGAAGATTTCTAGCTAGGTGTCAGTGGCTCACATCTGTAACCCTGGCTACTTGAGAAGCTGGGATCAGGAGGATTGAGGTTCCAGGCCACCATGGCAAAAACAAACAAACAAAAAAACTGGATGTGGTGACATCCAGGGTCATCCTCAGAATGACAAGCAAGCCTCAAAGTAGAAGATTGCGGCCCAGGTGTGTACCCAGGGGATATAGGGGAACCATAATTAGGAAGAAACAAGACTGGAGCTGTGGTTCAGTAGTAAAGCAATAGCCTAGACATGTGTGAAGCCCTAAGTTCAAACCCAGTATCACACAAGAGAAGTAAACCAAGTCTCAGCACTGTTATTTTGATTAGCTTCTATTAATTTGTGTTCAAAGTAAAAATTTCATTGCAACATTTCTACAGATGCATATACTGTACCTTGATCCTATTTATTTCCTCTATTCAAAAGAACATTCTGAGAATTGGCTATGCACCAGGAACTGTCCAGTTATTTAGGATACAAGGATGAGCAAAACACATGTGGCTCCGGCCCTCATGAAGTAGTCACAATCAATATGATATCTGAAGGATGAGCAACTTGTTGTTTATTAGGTGAAGTGGGAGTGAAAGACTTCTGTGTACTCAGGCAGCTTGAACAAATGTAGTAGGTTGGAGAGAGTGCAGCCATTGGACGAACAAAGCAACACAGAGCCTGATGGACAGTCTACAGTTAGCTCACACTGGGCTTTGATGCCCACATAAAGGAATTAAGACTTGATCATAATGGTATGTTTTCCAAAGAAGGAGGTGAGACTAGGTCTGTTGGAGAGGACATGGAAGAACTATGCTTAGTTGCTTGGCTATTCCAGATGTTGA